AGTTTGAACTGCAATATCCAAGAAAATAAACACAAGAAATTGGACTCACCCAAATTTTCGACTGTACATCCCCAGTTTTGTCGAGGAATTTATCATTTACATATTATATTTCTTGACAAAGAGTTGTGCAGTGGAAATTTGGGCGAGTCCAAGTTCTTGTGTTGGATATTGCAGTTCAAACTTGTACCATAACACATTATTTTATTTCCGTGAATAGTTTCATCAGCTTGGTAAGACACTGAGTAAGGAGACTCTTTTTACACAACCAAGTACTTTATTCAGCCGACGTTTCGGTGACCGCCTGTCACCTTCCTCAGGGTAATGCCATGTGAACGCGCATCTGTAGCAGCGACACCTGTGCTGCAGTGCCATGTGAACCAGTCAGAATTGCCCTGAAGAAGGTGATGGACGGTCACCGAAACGTCGGCTAAATAAAAGACTTGGTTGTGTAAAAAGAGTATGTTTTTTTTACTCACAATATTTTATTCTAATGAAACAGGGAAGGTGCGCGTGTCCTGGACGTGGGGGCCGGCATTGGGGGTGCGTCTCGGTACCTCGCGCACAAAACCAAGTGTCACGTGACGGCCGCCGAACTCCTTCCCGACAACCACCGCGTGGGGCAGGACCTGACGTCACGCTGTGGCATGACGGGAAGTGTGAAGCACGTGTGCGGTGACATCATCAATATTGAGCTGGGTAAGCGACGTTATTTAGTTGCAGTACGTTACGCTGCAGTTACGCTGGGTTATGCTGCAGTATCCACCGAGACTAACCAACAGACTAAGATACATACACGTAAGAGTCATCGCGACACACAAAGAGCAGTAGGAATAAGTAGACCTTTGTCCTGGTCCTAAACTAGAGGGAAAATATCTAGGAAAGAATGAATTCTTGAACACCTCAATCCTTGGTTGATAACTCTGGTACTTGAATGCATGGCTATTTTTTGTTCTCTTCTCGGCTGGTATTAGGTACTTAGCAGTTGGGACATCCACCAGTTTATTAGTCATTTTGTACATCATGCATAGTCTGGACATCTTTCTTCTGTCTTTAAAGATCAAATGACACCCAAAAAGTCTGTAAGATACATAATATGTAAAAAACGTATCCATACAATAAAGTCACGTGAAGTTGGAGGGAAGGGAAGGGTTAGAGGGAAAGAGGGTTAGAGGGAAAATATCTTAAAACAAAGTTCAACCAGCAAACCTACTTCATGTTTTAACGTATCTGAAGGTAACAATCGCCTCGTATGGATTTCAAATATAATTATCGATGTATTATTATATATTTTGTGAATATAATATATATATATTATTAAATATAATTATTAATATATTATCTTGCAGGTAAGGAGGAGTTTGATCACGTGATGAGCCTTCAGGTGATTCTATACGTGGAGGACAAGCCCAGGCTGTTCCGTCAACTGTACGACTCCCTCAAACCTGGAGGGACCCTGTAAGTATTTCACTAGCCCAGGCTGTTCCGTTAGCTGTACGCCTCCCTCAAACCTGGAGGGACCTTGTAAGTATTTCACTAGCATCGGCTGTTCTGTTAGCTGCACGCCTCCCTCAAACCTGGAGGCACCTTGTAAGTATTTCACTAGCATCGGCTGTTCCGTTAGATGTACGCCTCCCTCAAACCTGGAGGCACCTTGTAAGTATTTCACAATCCCAGGCTGTTCCGTTAGCTGCACGCCTCCCTCGAACCCGGTGGGACCATGTAATATAAGTATTTCATAATCCCAGGCTGTTCCGTCAACTGTACGACTCACTCAAACCTGGAGGGATCATGCTAGTATTTTGCAAGGATTCGGTGTAAGAAAAATATGAAGGGTGGTCTTATATAGATTATATTAGGGAGAGGGAGAGAGAGAGAGGAGAGGAAGAGAGAGGAGAGGGAGAGAGAGGGAGAGGGAGAGAGAGGAGAGGGAGAGAGGGAGGGGAGAGGGAGAGAGATGAAAATACATTGTATAGTTAACACAAACGGACTAACTAACTCACTAATAATTGTAATGACGCCATTGCCACAAGAGTGCAAAACTGTTTGTTACGTCAAAAGCAGTGATTGGTCATTAATTATCCTGATGAAGGCGACAGTGGTCGCTGAAAATTTGATCTCTCTTTAAACTGTGTGTTGGAATAAAGTTTAACGTTTTACTATATTTCTTAGATGTTTCGAGGAGTTCTACCGCCTGAAGGACGTTGAGAGTGACGAGGAGAAGGCGGCGCTGGATTTCTTCCTGCTGTGCGTCAACACTCTGCCGACCCAACAGGACTACAGACGCCTACTGGAGGAGGCAGGCTTCCAAGTCACGGTCAGGATTTTCTCTTTACACTTCATTCTAGTCTCTATCCTCTCTCTCCCTCCCTCTCCCCCCCTATCTCTCTGCTGGAGGAGGCAGGCTTCCAAGTCACGGTCAGGAGGTTCTCTTTGCATTTCTTTCTAGTCTCTAAACTCTCTCTCTTTCTCTCTCTCTCGCCCTTTCTCTTTCTCCCCCTCTCACTCTCTCTCTCTTCCTCTCTCTCACTCCTCCCTCTCCCCCTATCTCTCTGCTGGAGGAGGCAGGCTTCCAAGTCACGGTCAGGATTTTCTCTTTGCACTTCATTCTAGTCTCTATCCCCTCTCTTTCTCTCTCTCTCTTTCTCTCTGTCTGTCTCTCTCTCCCTCTCTTTGTCTCTCTCTCCCCTCCCTCTCCCTCTCTCTCTGCTGGAGGAGGCAGGCTTCCAAGTCACGGTGACGATTTTCTCTCTGCATTTCATTCTAGTCTCTCTCTCTCTTCTTTTCTCTCCCCCTCTCCCTCTCTCTCTCTCTCTTCCTCTCTCTCACCCCTCCCTCTCCCCCTATCTCTCTGCTGCAGGAGGCAGGCTTCCAAGTCACGGTGACGATTTTCTCTCTGCATTTCATTCTAGTATAGTCTCTAGCCTCTCTCTCTCTTCTTTCTGTCTCTCCTCTTCTCCCTCTCTCTCTCTTCCTCTCTCTTTCTCTCCCTCTCACCCTCTCTCTCTGCTTCCAAGTCACGGTGACGATTTTCTCTCTGCATTTCATTCTAGAAGACGAAGAAGGTCCCTTTCCACTCCTTGCAGAGCCTCTTTCCATTTTTTTTAGCCCTTGGGCCACACAGTTGTGCACCCCACCCGTGCCCTTCTGGACTTTGCCACTGAACAGGCACGATAGCGGCGGCCCGGGGGGGGGGGCAACGTACCAGATGGATGGATGCTGTACGACGATACTTGAGCAACATCAAGAAGATAAAGATCAAAGAGGAATTCAGTATATGATATATATGGTTTTATTCGACATTAGGTCTTATTCAACACACTTATTTTATTGTTGTTACTCTCTTTATGTAGTCTGCCATACATTGTACCATGTACAATTGTCGTGCAATAAAGTTATATCTATCTATGATATATAGATGTTGGAATTTACTGACTACAACTTATGATCTTGCATTGGCAGGTCGAGGACAATTCTGCCGCGTACGCCGAGTACACGTACGGACGTTGGTCGAACTGGGACGAGCAGCGCGACAAGTACGTCCGTCTGTACGGGGAGGACATGGTGGACGGATGGCTCAAGCTCGTCGTCACCGCCAAGAAGATCTGCAACGACTTCGGGCTGGTGGGAGGGGGGCGCTTCGTCGCGCGCAAGGTGTAAAGATAGAAGTCTGAAGAAGGCAGTTCTAGCCTGTGTACGGTGTAACACAAGAGATGAAACTACAATAACACTTTAACAAAGGTCCAAGTTACATAGTGACTGGTGTTGTAGAGCTGGTGGGAGGGGGGCGATTCGTCGCCCGCATAGTGTGAAGATTGAAATCTGAAGGAGGCGATTCTAGTCTGTGTTACACATTAGATGAAACTTCGACTGCTTGTAAACGAAGACTCAAGTTACATGGTGAATCATAGTAAAGGGCTTGTGGGAGGTGTGTACGGTGTAAAAATAGAAATCTAAAGGAGATTAAATTTAGATTACAAGTAGACGAAGGTCCAAGTTACATAGTGAATGACTCAAGACGTTCGGGGAACTGAAACAGACTGGGTTTTGACTTTTGCTTCTAAAGTGCTTCGTTTTTTGTTACATTCTTTACCTAACTTGAAGGTAACGTTAAAAGTCTGAAGATTGCTAGTCTGTGCATGTAACGTTACTTGTATTACACAATCACTCGCTATCAGGGCTAATTACACGCAAGCTTGTTGCCACACACCGCTAACTTTGGAAGAAGATTCCCATTCCCAGAATGAACAGTAGGAACGTTTGATCAGTTTGAAAAAAAAGAAACATAGCAGCTTAGTATTCTCTGTCTCGATGGAAACCAGTCATCACAGCCTCCAACAGTATTGTAACGGACAGTTGACAGTCTGACAACATTTGGTCAATGTTAGCACGATAATCATGCATGAATCAACCTGATTCTCATTCGGGAATTAGCTGTCAAGCTTCTAGGGACCTGGAAAGTGGGGGAAGATGGTTTCTCTCGACTGGCTGTAAGACATTTATAGCAAATAACCAGTGAATAAACAAACAAACAAACACCGTAACGTTTCAACTATAAAATGTCTATGGCATGTTCAGTTCTCATAATATGAGAACATGAGGACAATATTGTCCTTTCTTCTACATTAATCTCCAAGCAGATGTTGGAAGGGAAGATCGTAACGCTACCCCTTTAACCCTACCTAGACCGGGCTTTTTTGGGCTTGGTGGGACGGGGGGGGGGCTCATTTGACCCATTAAATTCTAGCGCTAGCCGTTCAGACGCTAGGTGACATCAAAGTTGGCGCGGGCACTTTTAGCCCCCCCCCCCTCTAGGTAGGGTTAAGCATACAACTAAACATGACAAAGTGAATACAATAGTCGGTGGAACTTTGCAACTTTATTCCCCAACAATATCTTTTCTTTTTGCGTGCAGCGCAAGCCAAACTTTGACGCCACAGTTTGGCAAAATGTTACGCGATGAAGCCTCGCGCACGCTATTATTGAAGCTTTGCGGTGTAACTTCAGCCACGGATGCAGGAGTAGCCGGAGTAGCCGTCCTCCCTGCAGCTCCAATCGGGACCGCATGGCGTCGCCGTGCAGAAGTGGCCGGTGTATCCGCGGCTCCCAGCAGGCGCTATATGAAGACAGAAAGATGGTCATTCCTGGTGTTTTAAGACATTTAAACGGAGTTTGTATTTGTTTTACGCAACTTAACGTGTATGCAAAAATTAGAGTTTCTGTATACTACAATTGTTTCGGTTCACGACTCGGTTGTTGGTTATTTCCAATCACGGTTCTATAAGCATTGGACAGAACGTATTGCGTTTGCATGCGCACGAAACCAGTTTTTAGTAGCATGTTGTGTCTGAGAAAGTATTGTCTACAACGGGAAAAATTTTGCTGCAAGCTTGATCAAACATCCAATGAAAACTGTAAAATTCCTGGTTTCCCACAGGCGCAGTATACGTACGTTCTGCCGACGTGCTGGTTGCACATATCACACAGTGACCATGAACATGCACGTTTCTCACCTTGGCAGTGGAAGGTGCCCAGGTCCGGGGCCACACAGGTCCAGCCAGACGGACAGGGATTGGGGTCACACCAATTTATAGCTAAAAAATGAATATCCGGGATTATCAAGAGTATTTCTTGTAGCCTAACACAATCTAAAACAGCAAATGTATGGCTTTTTTAAAACCTGGAAACGTTAGACATTTACATTCTACTAGCTATATATCTGTGTGAACAGTACCTATATCAAAATTATGTGATAAAAAAGTTAACATTCCAAAGCAAATGCATAATGTTTACCTTCGCATATGGTCTGCTCCGTTAATTCTTACTCAAATACATTCATATATATGGTGACAGGAGTCTAAATCCCTCCTACTATAAAACTGCAACATGATGTAACCCAACGCTAGTTACCATGGTGAGAGACGGCCTGGTTCGTGTCATCGTCCAGGTCAGAGGTTAGTGTTTGAAACAGAAGAAGAAACAGAGCAAAAACCATATGTTTTACACCAGTTCGCACCCCACCTGGTCACCGATCTTGTGTCCTTGGGAAAGGCACTTTACACGACTTTACTCACTTCACCCAGGTGTAAATGAGTACCTAGCTTCGGTTAGGGACGTCCCTCGGATAGGACGCTAGCTGGAGGTCCAGTGTTTGGGGAGAGCCATACCCCGCGCAAGTTAAAGAACCCACCACACCTTTCGAAAAAGAGTAGGGGCATGCCCCGGTATGCGATGGACCAAAATACTTATCTGATTATTCACTACGGACTCCAGAAAGAGTAGTGTGAATTTCACACTAACGGAGATCCTAAACAAACAAACAAACAAACATAAAAATTCACATCTAGAAATCCCAATTAAAATGGCAGGTACCTGTCTCACAGCTGTTCCCAGTGAATCCAGGTGGGCACTGGCAGGTGTAGCCGTTCACATGATCCACGCAGGTGGCGCTTTGAGAACAGGGTGAGCTCTGGCACTCGTCAATGTCTGAAAAAGGGAATGCAATAGGGGTTGCGTTGTGTAACGCAAAGGCTCGACGCGGAACCAAGAGTTCGGGTTCGAGTCCTCACAAAAAAATGCCTGTCAGAAACCCGTTGCCATGGCAACACAAAAAAATTATTATCTGATTCCAATGATAGAAAATTGTTGCCAACAATATTCTAGGAAAAGTCACCAAGTTGGGCGGTTCTAGCGCTAGCCGTTCAGACGCTATGTGACATCAAAGTTGGCGCAGGCACTTTTAGCCCCCCCCCCCGTCTAGATAGGGTTAATTGAAAATGAGAATTGTCTGTCCTGTATTTGTTTCTATGTGTGGGACACAATACCAGCAACCGCTGCCTGTGCCCCACGCCCATTGCACTGTTGCAATTTCAAGAAATCAAATCAAATCAATCAAAAACAATTTGTACAAGCTAAAGGCAGGTAAGTAGACTGGTATTGCTTGTCCCACGACAAAAAAATCGTGCAACGGCCCCCGACCGAGCCACCCTGACGTCGTCGTAGGCCGTAGACTAAAACTTTCAAGTAGGCTCTGACATCACCAACCGCTGCTAGGATCCAAGGAAGCTTTTTTTCCGTGACAAGATGACTGATTTTTTTTCATAGCACATGAACGACAATCTCAAGAACATCCTCAGTTGCCAACCGTACCACAGCGTACTACTTTATGACTATTTGTATGGTTATTTTATTTATGTTAAATGTTAAGTGGGGCTGTAAAATAAGTTGTATAACTTGAGTTCAGTCCCACTTCGTCCTTGTATTTGTATTGCTTTATTCAAGAAAAAAAAAACCGTACCACAATAGATTGTGCGACGTGACCGTGCCGTCAAATAGAAAACACCAAGACTGACTACTTCTAGGCACGATTCCCACTTCTGTAAAATAATATCGGATCGAGCCGAATAGATAGCCAACCGAATCGACCCGGACAAATTTACCAATGTGGGAACGCTCTCCATCCGTTTTTTTAGCGGTGTCGCTCAATGCAAGGCCAATTATTTTTGGCCACTTCTAGGCATAGAGCTAGAGGTATAGAACTGTAACAGCAACTCTTGTCCCTGAGTCAGAAACATCGTGAGATGTTTCTGACCAGCCCAATTTCTCACAAGTAGTGCGGACTAACTGACCAAATAGGAAAAGCAGGGGTTACGATCCTAGTGGAAACAGGGTCCTACTGACCAATCTGGCACTGGTCTCCGATCCATCCCGGCTCGCACCAACACACGAAGTACGGCTCATGGTCCACACAAGTGTGGCAGGAGTAGTGCTTCACGCGATCCTCACAGGTGCCGTGTACGCAGGGGGAACTGCTGCAGCTGCTGGGTTCTGCAGAAGGCAAACACAATATCGTGGCATTTTAAATGCGTCTAGGTGCTCGTCGTTACCTACCTACCGACAATTAACAGACAAAATGTAGTTTTTTACGTTAAATTTGAGCATTAAATGATGAAAAGATGACATGGAGAAGAGAAAGGAAAATTAGAAAGAAAAAGGGAAAAAAGGCAGGAAGGGAAACAAATTATTTCTACATGAGTGGACAATGGTATCTATATCTCATAGTATCCTTACTTGCGCACAGTGCATATTTGTTGCTTTCGTCAGCTCCCTGAACTCTTGTGTTAGTGATAACGTCATAGCCATATGCGCTGTCTCTTTCCAAGTCGGGACGGACAACGAAAACATCGTGCAGGGCTGGGCAGATGTCAGGCCTGTACTCTACGCACAGGTGGGCGGACAGGATGTTTGGAATAACGTTGCTGATCTCATCAGCACTGTATGTTATGCAGCCTGGTTCCCAGTAGATGCCATCTTCTAGCGTGCCGTCTCTACCGAGGCACGGGTACTGCATCCCCGTCGCTTCACAAGTGAACTTGACGTTGGTGTTAGTCATCAGGCCCGTGGCCTTGACTTTGTAAAAGCCCCACCCACTCCAGGAGGACAGATATACCGAGAAGCCTATGGAAGAAGAAAAAACAACTTGATAAACGAATGAATGGGGTCTTGTGGAGTAGCGGCAGCGTGCTCGACTCAGAACCAAGAGGTCCCGGTTCGAGTCCTGACATGCCACCGATCTTGTGTCCTTGGGAAAGGCACGTTACACGACTTTCCTGAGTATTGTCTTGTCATTATTTCGTCCTCTGCGTTGGTGGCGGAATAAAATAAGTTGATATAACTTAAGTGTGCTGTGCTGTCACCATGTCTAGGCATGAAATGTTGGAATATAAAAAAAATATTATTTTCTTTTGCGCAAATCTGTTGACCACCATGATTAGTATGGACTATTCTACGACATGTACTTTGTGTTTGGCGCAACGGCCCAGAAGTCGTCGGTTCCAATCCTGTCATGTCGCCGATCTTGTGCCCTTTCACGACTTTCCTCACTCCACCCAGGTTGGGTACCTGACTCCCGTTGGGGAGGTAGCAGGCGGTGGAGAGGGTTGGGCTTTACGTTCCGAACACCGTGTCCCAGACACAGTGGATTTAACAACCGACTATCTCTATGGCATCAAAATTGCCACCTTAATCTATTCTCAATATTCCTCCATACCGAAATTCAGGCCATATGGCGTAAAGGTAAATTAAAGATTGTATAAAATGACCACATACCATAACAAACTCCATAAAATCAGAAGAATTTCAATTGAAATTTCCAACTCAGCGCTGATAACTGTCCAAGGATGGTTCTATACAGTCGAAACATTTGGTATCCAAATTATGGCGGTTTTTTTTTTATTTACAAGTCAACTTGGACAATACAGGGCATGGAGGTGAGCTACTCTAGCTCTAGCTAATTCTTACCTCACCACAAAACATACAAGTATTGCCGAAAAACAACACAAAACAGCAAATGGGTGGGCATGGATCAATACATAAGTTTTCGCAGTTGAAATACCAACATCAGTTTGCTACATTAAAATTCGCAAACAAACAACAAATAATGATGATACCCTCATTGTAAAATCTGCTTCGCATATATGCACTTTACCAAGCTCAGGTGTCAGGTTATCATGTGGTTAGTGTTGTTGAGTTACTAGTACAGAATCTAAAAGTTCTGGGTCCGAATCCCTAGCGGGACCGATGTTGTACAACCGGAGGTCCCGTGTTTGAAAAGAGCAATCCCTCGAAATATTTAGTACAGTAGTGAGTAATTGTATCAGTGAAGCCTTACGCAGCTGCTAATTATACCGTATGAAACTTGGGTAGTACACATAATTATAGCGATTTCACCCATAACGCAGATTAAAATCCTTACCTGAAGCCAGGGTGATCGCACAGGCCACAAGGACCAGAGAAGACAGAACGAGTCGCCCCATGTCGTGTGCAGTGGCTGATATCGCTGTGAACTACAGTCTTTATATGATCTGCCAGCAGGTACAAGTAGGTATGCTGTTAAAAGTTAATGTCGTCATATGTATTTCTAGTGGTCTCCTTCACAAGTACTACAATTGCCTCACTGCTGACTGTACGATATTACCACTTTCAATGGGACATCAAACAAGACTGTTTGTAAGACCCGTTATTAAATGCCGAACACGCCTGCACCAAAAGAATGTCATTCTTACTTCAGGCAAGGCCTGCTTCAGATATACTGCTTCATATCATATATGTCAAAATATGTGTAGACGCTAGAAATTCCACTGAGAAGTAAACGCAAAACCACATATTTTCATCACACACACTGCATAAAATCTCTTGTAACTGAATGTAGTTTAGTCTCCTAGTATGATTGCTATACAGCTGTAGACGCCACCTCTATATTGATGTTTTGAAGGGTAGAAAATCTGCTGATATCTAGTGTAATTGGAGCTCTAAAGGAAATTACGCATTGAAGTAAGTACAGTGTCAATTTGCAATCAGAAGAGGGTAAATGATGAAATCTACAAAGCACTTTCAGGGCCACCTGTTATTTGCGATGTTGTGAACGCAGGGCGCAAGTAGAAGCTAAATTTGGCATCCCTGTACTTACTACACAGACGGAGATCTGTATCAGCATGAAAGTTCTGTATCTGTATAGCCGGTGTAACCGCCCTTCGGCGTAACACACCAGCTTCTGTATCTGTATAGCCGGTATAACCCCCGTTCGGCGTAACACACCAGCTCCAACAGAGATGTAGACTTTTGTGTGTTATTGGATGCATTTCACGACTGTAATGGCTGTTACCAAAAGAATGTAAAATATATCGTACTTCAGGCCAGGTCTGCTTATTAAGATATTCTGCTTGATACCACGTACTTCAAAAGATGTCGAGACGCTAAAACTTCTACTAATAAGTAAACGCAAAACCACATTTGTATCACACACTGCATAAAATCTCTTATAACTGAAGGTAGTTTGGTCTCATAGTATGTTTGCTATAAAGCTGTAGATGCCATGTGGTATATATAACTCTATATTGGTGTTTTGAAGGGTAGAAACATTTGCTGATATCGAGTGTAATTGGAGGTTTAAAGGAAATTACGCATTAAAGTAAGTACAGTGTCAATTTGCAACCAGAAGAGGGTAAATGATGACATTTATAAAGCACTTACAGGGCCATCTGGTATTTGCGATCTTGTAAACGCACGGCACAAGTAGAAGCTAAAATTGGCATCTCTATACTTACTAGGCAGTAATATATATTGATATCGATGTATATGTGAACACTGCACTTTAGGATTTTAATAACGCAATGACCGAACACCTATTGCTCGTCAGTACAATATGGTGCAAATCAAAAGGGTGCTATTATATGGAAAGATATGGAAAGACAGTCAAGGTATCGAAAGGTAAGAAGTGCTATTAATCTATTAACTTTTATATATTAACTTGAGCGTGCTGTCACAATGTCTAGTCATAAAATGTTGGAATGTAAAAAACTCTGTTTATTAGGTCCTATCAATGATCAGTTGAATATTGACTTTGTGCCATCATGAAACTTCGACTGCAATGTGTAAACGGATGTCGAAGTTACGTGATGAGTGGTGACTTGTGCTGAAAGGATGGTGGGAGGGGGGCGCTTCGTTGCGCGTAAGGTGAAAAACTTAGAAATCTGAAGGGGGCTATACTAGCCTGTATTACACATGATAAGAAACTTCGACTGCATGTAAACGAAGATCCAACTTACACGGTGACTGGTGGTAAAGGGCCGGTGGGAGGGGGGCGCTTGTCGTGTGAAAGGTGTGATTCTGAAGGCAGCAATCTGAAGATTTTTAATCCATCCTGGTGGTTTCAAACAATTCCACATTTTGTTTACCTCACTCAGTGATGCATCAATGGGTCTGTGGGTGTGCTTGTGTTTGTATGTGTGTGTGCCTGTGCATGCTTGTGTATGTATATGTGTGCGCGCGTTTGTGTGTGTATTAATATACGTATCTGTGTGTGTGCATGTGGTGCATGGTTGTGTGCGGACGTGTGTGTCTACAGTGTGTATACTTGTATGTGTGTGTTTGTGTACAGTGTGTGTGTTTTTGTCTACATCGTGTGTGTGCTTGTATGTGTGCGAGTTTGTATGTGTGTGTGTGTGGTGTGTGTGTGTCACTGCTTGTGTATGTGTGTGCTTTTGTGTGTGTTTGTGTATCTGTGTACACATATGTACACATCTGCATGTGTGCATGTGTTTGTTAGTATGTGTGTGTGGATGTATTTGTTTGTGTGTGTCTATGTGCGTGCGTGTGTGTGTGTGTGTGTGTGTGTGTACATGTGTGTGTACATTTGTGTGTGTATGTGCATAGGAACGAATCAGTACAATCAGTACAATAGGGATATTCATACTCTCTACCATCTTTAATCAAATCAGAATCAGGAGAAAGCTTGTTGGCGGACACGCCTTTCAGCCTTTGGCTGTTTGTTGCGTGCATGGAGTTTGGCCGTGACGTCACACAGCCTTGCAGGAGAAGGACGCCACGCCCTCCTCGGTGCAGTACATGTCATCCGGACAGGAGGCGCTGCTGCACTGGTAGGGGACCATCCGATTGGCAGTCGCCGGATCTAGGTACAGAAGTAAAATTTACAAGACATTAATACTGACATATTGATGAAATATTTGTATCATTTATAAGGGTAATGGTACTTTTGAAAAACGTACACCTGGCAGCCATACCATATCGGATAGCAAACGATGGATCAAATCAAATCTGGACGTTAATACAATTTTATCGTTATGTTTTAATTATACTGCAGCAAACGTTAACTTTACTCACCAACACATGAGAAGTAATAGAGGTGATCCACACAAGTCCAATCGAACGGGCATTGGTCCTGTGCGCACCAGTCTGGGGCTGAAAAAAAGAGGAGAAGGGAACATAATGTGTGTAGTTTGAAAACAAAAACACCTATTGGGCCGTAAAATACATATATACAACGAGGAGCAGAAAAGGTTTAAGGTACGGTGTGGCAAAGCTCTGTAGATACCTGTAAGAGACAGAGCTATGTCGCTACACCATAATTTGTAAGTTTGATATTTGTTGAGAGAACATTTGCAAGTTATCGAGTCGTCTTAGCATCTAGCGTTTTTAGGCCTATCTCCATCCATATCTTTCTTTCTGTCATTCATAATATTTACTCAAAGTAGCCTAATGGAAAAGAAATAGAATCACACGAACTTGATTCGCAGTGGTCTCCCTGGAAGCCGTTGAGACAGCGGCAGCTGTAGGAGTTGATGTCGTCATCACAACTGCCGCCATTTTGGCACGGACTGGAGGCGCACTCGTCGATGTCTGTACAAGTATTAACAGTTTCAGCTTGTTGAGAAAACTTTCTTATTTCAAAGACATGTGATATTTCAAATCGGTATCGTATCAAACACGCAACTAAAATAAACTTCAAATGTAACGTATTTGAACTAGTCACTATCAGTAACCAGATAGACAATCATTATTATCTAGGGAGATGTGACACCCTTGCCAGCATGTCAGTCAAACACATGATTAAACACATGATCAAACACATGATTAAACACATGATTAAACACATGATTAAGCACATGATTAAACACATGATCAAACACATGATTAAGCACATGATTAAACACATGATTAAACACATGATTATGTCAAACATAACTGTACTCACTTATTTCGCACGCCCTTCCGTCGAACCCGTCAGGACAGTCACAGAAAGACACGTTGAAGCAGGAGGTGCAGTTTCCGCCGTTCTGACACACGTTCGGGGCACAAGGCTTCACGACTGAAATCATCAATTAACGTGATTGTCAATGTTGACAATTTCCTACTTTTAAGTCCCACTCTTTTGAAAATTGAGGCTTTTTGTTATTTTTAGAAAGTTTGTTCACAAAAGATTCGAGTAGATGATCGGACAGTTCTGATAGTTGTTCATGTTTTTTTTAATTTTTGTTTTATAACAATGGATTTGCGTCTCAAGAGCGCATCTCAAGAAAACAGAAAACGAATAGACAAAGGAATTGGAATGGTGAGAAGAATTGAAAACGACTTACCAGACTGGCAGACGTAGTTGTGTTGCTCCGTACAGAAAGCAGTCCTTGCCATGTAGTTGTTGGAGCTGTCCAGGAGAACACACAGGTCCAGAGGGGACGACGGTTCTTCTGACAACCACTGAAGGGAATCTGGCAGGAACGCAGAATAGACCATGTAATTTGAGCAGTTCGTGCGAAGCTATCTAAAATACTGTCACAGTGTTTCAATCCCATCAACAAATCCCATCAATAAACCTACTGTGTGATTCAATCCATTTATAAACAACAGAATATTGCATTTCTCCAGAATACAAACGGTCATAGCTGGACTGAGCTAATCGACGTTGAAAGCCTCATTTTATGATATGACCAAGTCATTACTTATACAGAACCTAAACTCATTGTAGAAAATGCAAGTGTCTTTTTTAATAGCTCCATTGTGTGAATCTACATGCCATTGATCATTATTAATTGCCATTTAGCTCAAAGTAAACCTCATCAGAACGTACTACTGGCACAACCTGAGTAATATCAAGTTCAAACCATGAACGTCTTACCAGAACTCTGAGATCCGTCGCTGTAGTAAACCTGCAGCGGGGCACTTCTCATCGCCAGCCAGTTGGACACGCCGCTGGTGGCCGCCATCTTGTCAGCCAGGAAACGCTGCAGCTGGTCGTCCTTCACGTCCACCAGGCGGCCGGCATTGGTACTGCAGGCCAGGGTCGCGTCACGGTGGGAAGCGGCCACCGTTGAGAACTCGTAGCATTCTCCGTCAAAAAGCCCTAAAATGGTAAAAACCGAGAACGTCACCCTCTATACACATCTGAAGGTCATGATTTTGCTCCATTTTGTTGGTATAAATACATTAATGCCTTATACACAGTTTAAGCAGTATTTGTAACTACAATCTCCAAGTACAAAAATGTACTAGTACTGTATTACCTGTTTCACAGTGCTTTCCTGTCTTGTCCTTAGGACAGACACAGCTGTAGCCGTTCACGTGATCCAGGCATGTCCCTCCCAGCCAACAAGGATTGCTCGCACACTCGTCGATTTCTGTAAGATAATGCATTTTGCTTGTCTTTACGTCAGTCCAAAATTCTTTGGCTCATTTCAACTGCAAGATGCCACAGGCCTGAAAAAATCTGTGCACTTTGTTGAGGGCCTTAGTTTACCTACAGTTATTTTTACAGTTATATTTATTGGCGAATTAAACTTTGCGAAAACATTACAAACCTTGATCACAGTTGTTCCCTGTCCAGCCGTTCTCACAGCTACAGGTGTAACTCGCCACGCCGTCAGTACAGGTTCCGTGTACACATGGGGAGGAGAAGCAGTCGTCAATGTCTGCACAAGAAAAATCAAGATCAACCTGTGAAAACTTGCAAAGTATACTGAATGTTAATATTCTCTTCAAGGACAAATCCAACAGTCACAACTTGCACAACGCGGCATACTTGCAGCGAGCTACGTACTGGCAGACAGACTGAAAAATGGCGCGCGCTCCAAATCTAAATCTGTTCCAATTTAACCGGTGGCGACGTCACAGGTCCAGTCGCAGCGCCGCCTAGCGGACAATCGGGCGCCAGCCGGGGAACATCGAGCGGGTCAGATATCACCGCAAGTATATGCGGGGTTTGCAGAAACCAATAAATCACCATTTACAAATAGAATTTGGGTGGGAAGGCCCCAAAACTGAAAGTATTGTATTTGTCCTTTAATCATCGTCTTCGGGAAGATACAATGCTTTTTTTTTCATATTCAAGTTGGTTAAATGTGGCGCCCTATTCCACAAAGACATTAATCTCAGCACTGTTGAAGGTGAGGGCCTGTATTTATCATTCCATGCAATTGACAGGTTGAAGAAGTACAAACCTTGATCACAGTTTGTCCCTGTCCAGCCGTTCTCACAGCTACAGGTGTAACTCGCCACGCCGTCAGTACAGGTTCCGTGTGCACATGGGGAGGAGAAGCAGTCGTCAATGTCTAGAAATAGACATTTAACTGATTAAATCATAGCAAGAAATACCGGCGAAACCAAATGCATTTTCAAAACCTTTATAACATTTCTGATATCAACAGAAAACGAAAAATGTGTCTACACTATTTTAATCAGCTTTAGCGCGTTTTGTTACCAATTACAACTAAATTTAGTTTGAGACTCAAATACTTTCTTTCGCCTGCCGCTGGCTAATTGTGATCAAAAGAGAAATTCTATGCACAACATACTGAATGGTGAAAAATCATCATTATGATGAAAAAAAAAATCAGCAAAAATAAGAACTTTATCTAATGTTTAATTGCAGTAGGGCATAACATAACATGTTACAAACCTTGATCACAGTTGTTCCCTGTCCAGCCGTTCTCACAGCAACAGGTGTAACTCATATAGCCGTCAGTACAGGTTCCGTGTGCACATGGGGAGAATGCACAGTCGTCAATATCTTGGGGCAAGAGAGTTTGTGCGTTAATGTATTATGTAGTAGCTTGGTGTTTTTCTTTAATCTATATATCCTCTTTAAATATTAAAAAGTTTACCCTTACAATTAGTCTACATCAGAGTTGAAAACATAAACTAACCGCAGTTTTTTCTCCCAAGTATAATGACATGGTTAAATCCTTACCTGCACACAGAGCGTACATGTTGTTGTAGTTCTTTCCATGTAGGCCCGTGGTGTGAGTTTCGTAGTCCACTCCCCAGGCACTGCCCTCGTCACCCCAGCAGCTAGGGCAGTACACAAAGGTGTCATCAAGGGGCTGACAGTAACTGCCGTACCCGTGCGTAGTTCCACAAAGTTTTTCCGAGAGGACCTGGTGGGTATAACAGCTGACACCGGCGTCATACGGGATGCAGTCTGAGGTCCAGTGGTAGGTACACCCTTCCGTACCTGATGTGTGGTGGCACGGTAATCTCATCCCCATCGACTCGCAAGTGGCCTTGACCTTCATATTAGACAGAGATCCAACCGCGCGAACTTTGAAAAAGGACCATCTGTCGACAGTGGTCAGGTACTCGGGTTGACCTAGAAGACGAGAGATTATTATTTTTATTTCCTGGACATTCTTCTTGGGAAAAACGTAAAAAAGATTGGTTTCGGGACAAAATCAACGGAAATCAATATAGCCATTTATATCTACCTAGTTTCCTATCTACCAAACTAATATCATTAATGATTTCAACATCTTATAGTAATGCTTTCTAAGTGGTCAACGATAGTTGAATGTAAACAAGACCTTTCTTTCTACGAGGTGAATCATGTCGTACGATTAACTTTAATTGTGCACACGGCTTACGACTGGAAATCCATGTACATCCAAACATGTCTATAAAGAGACATACCGCCAGAAACCTTCGGGCGAGTTCCACCAAAAGGTCAATAACCTGACATAATGGAATGCGAGTCGCCAATAATGTAATTATAAATTCAGCTTATTGCTGCTTCAACTTAAATGTAATGCACCAAATGAGATTTAGAAAGTCCGCACTCACCGTGAGACGAGCCCGGCCAGACGATCACAGCCGCGACGAAGAGCAGAACCTTCCACATGTTATCCGTCCGTTTTGTTCAGCCGCCGTGTAGAAGTCAGCCTGGCTGTATGTATGTGAGTCTGGCAGTGTGGAAATTTATACCGTATCCCCCCAGGCCTGAATGGGAACCACACAGCTGACCAGTAGCCGGTTTGGCGCTTTTTTCTGTAAATTCATATCTTTACTTGTCGCGAATATCCGCAATGCATAATTAATAGTGGCCATTATGGGTGGATATTACATGTACTCTAACAAAGTATGCTTGGCAACCCTGGCCTATAGCTATGCCTCGCCGCGCCGTGCACATATCTTAATTAAAGTACAATGATTTACATGCCTTGATATGACGCCTGTTACGTAATAGGCGTACATTCGCCCTACGAAGTCCTTGATGCAATATGCTTAGCAACACTGGCCTATAGCTATGCCGCGCTGTACAGTGTACGTTTTGATATTAAAGTACAATGATTTACGTACCGTAACGTCACGCATGTTACGTCATAGGCGCACATTCGCAGCGCAGTCCTTGACTTTTCGCAAACAAACTTTACTGGAGAACCGATCGTGCTGAAGTTATAAGATTTTCTCACCTTCCATCAAGCAACTTAAGCTAATTTGGGCTGCAAAGACAACTGCAGACATGCAGGTTTGCCTCCGATGCATAATTGATATTGGCCACTATGGGTAGATACTATAGGTACCGTTATAACGTATGCTTGGCAACGGCGGTCTATAGCTATACCGCGCCGCACACGTTACAATTAAACATGATCTGTTCTGTGTAGCAAGCCAATATATGCTTCTGTACACATCTCTGAAATATGCCTTTTTCTATAAATACATATCTTTATTTGTCGCGATTATCTGCAATGTTTATATGTATTATTTCTTCTATGTGAATGCTGTTTAATGCTTCAAATAATGTGACAAATTGTACCTAATTCAGGGGGATGCGCTTCTGCTCCCCCTGCTGTTGTACATTTGTTAAATGATGAGCAATAAATAAAGTTAAAAGTTAAATATATGCATTATTAATAGTGGCCACTATGAGTAGATATTACTTGTACTGTTATAACGTATGCTTGGCAACGCTAAGCTATAGCTATGCCTCGTCACACATATATTTTAATTAAAGTACAATGATTTACACACCTTGACATTATGCTTGTTACGTAATAGGCGTACTTAGCTGACCGATGGGCCGTTGTTTGCGCTCTTTTCTATATATTGTTTGGCAACGCCGGCCTATAGCTATGCCGCGCCGCACAGTGTGCATTTTAATTAAAGTACAATGATTTACATGATTTACGCATGTTACGTCAGAGGCGCACATTTGCTCAACACCGTCCTTGACTTTTTGCAAACAAAATGTAATGAATGAAGAAATGATCGTGCTAAATTTGTAAAAAAAGTCTCCTCTTCTGAGGTATTTAGCTTCCATTAAGCAAATTAAGCTTAATTTGGCTGCAGAGACAAATGCAGATATGTAAGTTTGCCTCCTTAAAAGAGAGCAATAGCTGTAATTATTTGTGTCAATTGCCCGGTCAAAGGGCAGAGTTTATCCTTGGTTAGAGGCACATGCCACCGAAGCATATACTGTAGATCAGTATCATTATCATAATTGATAACTGGAGATGTTTTCTTATGTCTTCAATTGTTACAATTAAACAGACCTGATATGCTAAACACGTCGACTGGATCTCCTTCGATCTATTCTGTGTTACGATGCTCCTGTACACATCATTGCAACATATGTGTATGCCTCTGTATAGTAAAACCCCATTCACGGCTGTGGGCTCTCAGTGACCTTATCACTGACTATCAGCACAAACCCAGCTCCAATAACATTTGCGTATGGAACGTAACAGGCGAAGGAGCGATAACATGCAATAATTGAATAGCCGCTACCTCAATGGTGTCGGGGTCTTATCTTTTAATAAATGACAAATAAATCACCAGTTGACCATGTTATTAATAACTGTTTCTCTCAATTCGGCACAAAGTTTGGCAACCAGATTAACTCCATGACGTCTGTAGGCCCAGGTAAGGTCAAAGAGTTTATTCACGGACAGAAGCACATGTCACCGAAGTATATACTGAAGACCAGGTCATCACTAGCATAATTGATACCTGGAGATGTTGGTTCATGTCGTCAATTGTTACAATTAAACAGACCTGATATGCTAAACACGTCGATCTATTCTGTGTTATAAGCCAAGATATCGATGCTGCTGTACACATCTTTGAAACATATGTGTATGCCTCTGTATAGTAGAACCCCATTCACGGCTGTGAACTCTAAGTGACTAGCCTCCATAGCATGCCAAAAAGGGGTTTTTTTGGGGGGGGGGGTCTTCATGGTCCTTTAGAGCTTTTATTGTCTATTCTCTGATTGCATATAGACAACATAGCCGGCCTGGTTGAAATACCCCCGTTTTTGGAGCTGATCAGAAAACAGCCGAAGACGACCAAACCCCCAGTTCTATAAACCTGCTACGGAGGCTACTATGTTGCCTTTATCACTGACTATCATCACAAACCCAGCTCCAATAACACTGCTTCTTAATAAAGCGCGTTATGTCGCTATAAAGCAATTTGTACAATTACGTTTGGCATCTGAAACAGTAGAGTATGGAAAGGTAACAGGTGAAGGAGCGATAAGATGCAATAATTGAATAGCCGCTACCTCAATGGTGTCGGAGGCTTGTCTTTTAATAAATGACAAATAAATCATTATGTTGACCATGTTATTAAACTGTTTCTCTCAAACTTAGCACAAGTTATGGCAACCAGATTGACTCCATGACGTATGTAATATAGCACGGCAAAATAGCACGGCAGTGAGAATGTTTACATACTCAATGCTTAAGCACTGGTTAGGTAATAGCTATGAAAGCTAGATAATAGTTAGGTAATAGCTGAATGATAGTTTAAAAGATTTCCTCCATACGTTATGTATTTAGCTTTGTTTTCGCTGGCCATTGTTTAAGCACCGCTTATCAAACGGACCGTAAAAACACACGGGTGCAATATTAAGTGTCTATCTTATGCTTATTTAGTAATGAATCGGCACAAATAACCGAGACCATGGATATGCTTTACTTTCTGCCATCTTTAATCTGATGAAAATCAGGTGAAAGCTTGTTGGCTGACACGCCGATCAGCCTTTGGCTGCTTGTTGCGTGCATGACGTTTAGGTAACGTTGTGACGTCACACAGCCTTGCAGGAGAAGGACGCCACGCCCTCCTCGGTGCAGTACATGCCGTCCGGACAGGAGGCGCTGCTGCACTGGTAGGCGGCCATCCTGCTGGTGACGGGATCAGGATCTGCAGGTGGGTATCAAACATCAGAAATTCCGCAAAACTAGACTTTAATTATGTTTACCGAAGGAAAACATATTGTTTTTGCTCCATTTCTTCTTCTGTTTCAAACACTAACCTCTGACCTGGCCAATGGCCTATTTTGTTTACGTCTGTCACCATAGTAACTGGTGTCGGGTTGTCAATTTCATAGTAGGCATTTAGACTCCTGTCACCATATACATGTACATGAATGTGTTTGAGTAAGAATTAACAGAGCAGACCATATCCGAAGGTGAACATCATGCATTTGCTTTGCAAATGTTACTTCTCTAGTTTAAAGGTGAACTAGATAGACACTGCATAATTACTGCACTAATCCTTTCGTAGGAGCACATACTAATTCGAAAACATCACACTAGCGAGTGCTACATTGTAAATGTAAGTTGATATGCCTGAATATTTGCAACTACTATACAGTGGGTACAATGTTCATTATTAATTATAGCCTGTGTATCAGTATATATCAAGGTATATGTCAAATGGGGATAATAAAAAAGGAATTATAAGAACGTTTAAAAAACATATAGCGTCACAAAGTTATTTGAGTACTTATCTTTAGTTATTATCACTTATCTAATCATTTGTCATTTGTTACCATCAGCCTTTAATCGCTCGGATTGCTTGAAGACATTTTATCAACAACATGACGAAAAACTTTACTCACAAACGCATTGGAAGTAGAACGTGAAGTCCTGACAAACCCATCCTGGCGGGCATTGGACTTGGGAGCACCAGTCCATGTCTAAATATAAGAAATTAAGATAGGGAAAGCTTATAAGGATATGTGTTGTAAATAAAAGCTAATAAAAGAGAAAATTGCATTTGTTGCTAAAATGTGTAAGAAAAAGAAATAAAATATCCCACCCACCAGATTCGCAGTGGTCTCCCTGGAACCCGGTCAGACATCGGCAGCTGTAGGAGTTGATGTCGTCATCACAACTGCCGCCATTTTGGCACGGATTGGAGGCGCACTCGTCGATGTCTGTTTGAAATAATTAAGTACCCTGTTCTTATCAAACCGTGACAACTAGAGAAGTTTGTAGAAAGGTTTTTAGTTTAGTTTAATACTTACATCAATTATAAAAAGGCCAGTGCATGTTTCTACATTTTGTTAGAAAATAATTTAAAAACTAGAAAGGCCGACATTTGCTTGAGAGCAAATGCAGCATATGGCTTCACCACATCCCCCATACCGAAAATGGATCTATCCTACGATGGCTGCCAATAGTCTACACCCCCATGCAGCAATGGAACCTTCCAATGCCGGAAATAGCCAAAAAGCCCTATTTTACATAACTTTAAAGTGGTGTATGTCAAAATCGAGAATGACATTCTTTGGACATGTGTCCAAGGTATCCCCATACCAAATTTCAGGTCATTCGGATTTAATATTAGGGCACAGGATCTCAAAATGTATATTTTTTGCCTGAAAATGGCCAAAAAACCCAAATAAAACAATTTTTCAAAAAAATTAAAAAACTACGTCAGGGTATTTGCCCACTCTACCTTCATGCCAAATTTCGTGTTATTTGGCCTGAAAATGGCAGAGATGAATCCATTTAAAGAAATGGCAGGAGGAGGAGGAGAAGGAGAAGGAGAAGAAGAAACATGAGGGAACACAATATGTCTTCACCACTTTGTGGTGAAGCCATAAAAAGAGATAATCTAAGGAAAATTCTAGCAACCACAGCGTCTAGTGTGGACTATAAAAGCACGTACTTATCTCACAAGTCTTGCCATCAAACCCGTCAGGACAGTCACAGAAGGCGGCGGAGTCGTCAAAGCAGGAGGTGCAGTTTCCGCCGTTCTGACACACGTTCTGTCCACATGGTTTGAGGTCTTGAATAATGTAAAACATATAGCAATGATAACAAAGCTCTGGTTAACGCTTTCTACTACTCATTATTTAGAAGAAAAATGTATCAGCATTTTCTCACTACAATTATCATTACTGAAGTGTTTTCTTTTCATGTTATCTACCATGATTGGAAGTCAACGGAAAAAGGAACATGGTACATCGAATTGAAATTAAACATTTGGACTGTCAAGTAAACACATTTTCATTTCAGATTTACCGTAAGAGTTTTCCTTTTTTTGCGGCACACAATCACTACATAGTCATAGGTCTGTTCGAAGTATCCTACCTTGCCCTCTAATACGAAATGGAATGCAGAATAATAGTATGCAGCTGAACTGCCCTACCGTCCTGACAGACGTAGTTGTGCTGCTCCGTGCACGGTGCTGTCTTGGCCAGATAGTTGTCGGAGCTGTCCAGGAGAACACACAGGTCACACGGTTCGGCAGGTTCACTGGAAGACCACTGGATCGGGCCTGTCATCAGTATCAATATTAAGTTGAATTATTTTGATACTTTATGTGAAGTTTTGCAAAAAACCCTTGATCCATTAAGTATCAAAATAATTCAACTGTTAAGTTACGTTATTGTTTAACCTGTATATAATTTGTGATAATTATGTATGTTTATTCTCTTTTATTGTGTTGTCAGTATGTTCATTTGTGTTATATGTTTTGAACCCTGGAAGATAAGTCCTCAGGGACTAAAGGGTATGGAAATAAACATGAAGTGTATCAAACATAAAGAAACATAAAGTATCAACAAAATTCAAATTGGAAACGGTTTCTGATCATAATCTTTATGTAATACTATATGTAACTTGTAGTTTGTCTGAATCCGTTAAAAATATCAGTCTTGCATACCTGAAAAAGGAGATCCATTGCTGTTGAAAAAGGCCACTGGTGCCGATTTAGTTGCCAGCCAGTTGGAAGCTGCTGAGGTGGCCGCGATCTTGTCAGCCAGGAAAGGCTGCTGCTGTTCGTCCTTCAGGTCCACCAAGTGGCTGTTCATGGTACTGCAGGCCTGGGTCGCCTCCTGGTGGGTCAGAGAGATAGACGAGAACTGGTAGCATTCTCCGGCAAATGTTGCTGAAATTAAGGAACGAAAAAAAAGGGTTTGTCGTCGTTGAAAGATATGCAAAGAAGCGAAGGAAGCGGCTGTCGTCCGGTATACGGAAATTTGCTGCCGAATGAGTCTGAAGACACAAGAGGACCTAAGGTATAAGGCATGGGCCTAAGGTATAAGGCATGGACCTAAGGTATAAGGCATGGACCTAAGGTATAAGGCATGGACCTAAGGTATAAGGCATGGACCTATGGTATAAGGCATGGACCTAAGGTATAAGGCATGGACCTAAGGTATAAGGCATGGACCTAAGGTATAAGGCATGGTCGTCTTTGATGCAATGAAGTAAGAAAAGGTAAGCATCTATTTTGGTCTTAGAGTAGCTACATCAGCAGAACACAGAAACTCAACATATAAGAAATTGGCATGTTAACAATAACAAAAACACATCAACCAATGTGTAAACTCGCAACCTTATTCTGTATTTGCACACATTAAGATGACAAATACATTTGTAAAATGATTAGACAGTATAATAGATGTACCAAACAACAATACATAAAAGCTTAAAAACTATCATTTCGTAGCTTTTAAAACAGACCTGTTTCACAGTTTTTTCCGGTTGCATCTTTAGGACAGACACAGCTGTACCCGTTCACGTGATCCAGGCAGGTTCCTCCCAGCCAGCAAGGATTGCTCGCGCACTCGTCGATATCTGGATTGATGGACATTATACTACTCTTATCTAGGTGTTCTGTCTATTAAAAATATCATGCATTAAATACGTGCAGAAAATACAGATGTTTTTTTTCAAATACTAATTTCTTCATCGGAAGACAGTGTATACAATGAAACTTTATTTGCAAAATCATGCCCGAAGGCTAATTGCTTGTACAATCAAGCATAATACTCATTGCAATACAGTAACAGGAGACAGGTAACAACTGTCTGGAAAAACTTCTACTTCTACTACTGCACTAGCTATTATGGGGTTCGACTTCTTCTGTGAAGGCAGTGGATAATGAATAGTCCCACATTCTGCATAATTAGTGGGTTTTTTTATCTTAGTAGAAATGCAGTTTTTTGGTATATGTTTTAGAATATATGGCTTGGAAATATATTTAACATAGCAATTACAGCTTAAAATTTTGCTTGGTATTTGTCTGAAATAGAATATTTCTTAAACAGTTATGCACTGCACAAGAACATTGCGTCATTCTTAGCAAAGGGGATACAAGATTCTGAACTTAATCTGTTTCTATCCCGTACCTTGATCGCAGTTGTTCCCTGTCCAGCCGTAAATCAGGAAAAATAAGAACTTAATCTAATGTTTAATTGCAGTAGGGCATAACATAACATGTTACAAACCTTGATCACAGTTGTTCCCTGTCCAGCCGTTCTCACAGCTACAGGTGTAACTCGCCACGCCGTCAGTACAGGTTCCGTGGGAACATGGGGAGGACAAGCAGTCGTCAGAGCCTAAAACAAAAGATAAGAAATGGTATATGTGTTATTTGAAAGAAGCAAAGGCAGAACGATTACATAATTCCTGAGCGTTGTTCAGCAAAGTTAATTGAAAGGGTTTGACGTCTCTACATGTATTTAATTAGTGAAAAATTTCATGTCTTTGAGCTTTTTATGTCTGACACACTTAAGTGATTAGCTTTGTATGTTTGAAACCTACATGTATTCACCCAATCCACAAAAGATCCCCTATAATGATACGTAGAAATGCATGAATGAATGAATGAATGAATGAATGAATGAATGAATGACTGGTTTATTAGGTAAAACATTGCAGCCCGTCAGGCTGAAATACGTTCTACTTACATAGTACATGAAAGTACGTTTCATCACTTACATAGGACACAACTCAATATGACGAATAGCATAAAATATTACATAGTATTAAAATGTCGATTAAGATAAAATATTACAATAAAAAAACATCTGAGTGTGGTTGATTTACAACGTATTATTTGTTCGTGTTAAGCAGACTCAGTAGAGACGGTACAGGGCTGTTTTGAAATCGAGCAGTGCGGCAGGGCGCCAGTGTCATTTTGTTAGAGTTTCTAAGGTTCCTGCCGTGCTCCTGTCGCCGTGTGTTGGGGAGGAGATCAGCTGTGCGCTCCGATGTTGTCATGCTGTGTGCAAACTTGGTGCAGAGGACCGCCCGTCTCTTCTCGAGTGTTTCAAGTTTGCACATCTGTAGCCCCGTATGTTATCTTCACCGGAAGTTGACAGCTATCAAATGCAAAAGCTTATTGCTTTGATAATATCCGATCATAAATTCATGGATCACAGTTTGATGAAATGAAAAGAACACTAACCTGTAAAATATTTGATGTGGTTTTCAACTTTATTTTGCAGACAGGACGTTTTGTTTGATTTAGTTGATTGATTTTGATTTGTACACCAGCTCATTATGTACCTTTGTCCTTTCTTCTTCTTCTTATTATTATTATTACTTTGTTTTATTGTTTCCTTTTATGTGTGAGGAGAGAGCTGCCATAAGTTTATTTTTTTTGCCAATTTTTTAGCTCGAAAAATAAATGTGAATAAAATAAAATAACACTAACCATGATCACAGTTGTTCCCTTCCCAGCCGCTCTCACACGCACACGTGTAAGTCCCGTTGTTATCATCAGTACAGTTTCCGTGTACACATGGGGACCATCTCGCACATGTAGGGGCTGGAGGTGAGGATATGGTTAGTATGTAAAGTGTCTGCTAGGTCCTCACCAGGGACATTTACACCAGACAGAAACATCTACTGGCTACTTTCAAAACAAGAAGAAGTTGAAAACATCAACACACTGTTTGTGTACGTTTGTATCTGTCCTTGACGTCTTGTTTGAAAGCTGATGGTGCGAATGATTTATTCATTTTCATATTAATTTTACTACATTCTTGTTTCACTACTTCTGTATGCCTAATAAAACAAACAAACAAACAAACAAACTAGAAAAGTAACATTTGCAAAGCAAATGCATAATGTTTACCTTCGGATATGGTCTGCTCTGTTAATTCTTACTCAAACACATTCACATACATGTACATATATATGGTGACAGGAGAATAAATGCCCACTATGTAATTGCAACATTATTCTAACCCAACACCAGTTACTATGGTGACAGACGTCAACAAAAGAGGCCATTGGCTAGGTCGGAGGTTAGTGTTTGGAACAGAAGAAGAGGAAGAAGAAATGGAGCAAAAACACTATATAACAAGCAAACATTAACATTTGATGGTTACATTACCTGCGCACAGGGCGAACATGTTGTTGTATTGTGATCCGTGCAGATAGTCGGTGGGATTCTCGTAGTCCACCCCGTAAGCGCTGTCATCACTCTCCCAGCCAGGGATGTACACAAAGGTGTCATCAAGCGGCTGACAGAACCCAGGGTGAACAGTTCCGCACAGTTCGGCCGAGAGGACGGCGTGGGTACTATAACAGCTGGAAGTGGTGGCGTCGTCATACCTGATGCAGTCTGAGGTCCAGCGGTAGTTACACCCATCCGTACCTGAGTGGTAGCACGGTAATCTCATCCCCGTCGCTTCGCAAGTGACCTTGACATTCAGGTTAGTCATAGCTCCAACCGCGCGAACTTTGAAAAAGTTCCATCCGTCGACAATGGTCAGGTACTCGGGTTGACCTTGAAGATAAAACATTTATTATTTTCACTATGTTCGAGATGGCTGCAGGTGATCGATCAATCATTCAATCGTTCAATCGTTCAATCATTCATTCAATCATTCAATCGTTCAATCGTTCAATCGTTCAATCGTCCAATCGTTCAATCGTTCAATCGTTCAATCGTTCAATCGTTCAATCATTCAATCATTCAATCATTCAATCATTCAATCATTCAATCATTCAATCATTCAATCATTCAATCATTCAATCATTCAATCATTCAATCATTCAATCATTCAATCATTCAATCATTCAATCATTCAATCATTCAATCATTCAATCATTCAATCATTCAATCATTCAATCATTCAATCATTCAATCATTCAATCATTCAATCATTCAAATGGTTTATTTGTGAAAACAAACAAGAACGTGTAGCCATTGGCTAAATTGCGTTCATGACTAATTCACTGAGTGGTTTGGTTAACTGGGTAAAAATCACACCCAAGAGTTAGTACTAAGCCAATGTAAACATGAACTGTAAGCCCCGTGACCATTCTTCACACTGCAGTAGCGACATCTAGCGACAGTGCAAAATAGTTTTCTCCTGACCAGGATACCAAATAAAACCAACAAAACAGCCAATCCGATTAAAGACACCCGAAAAATAAACTATGAAAAAGAACAGGCCTAATGTCTGTTTGGAGAGAACTACAGTTGGATTTCAGTCGAAGGTCACAGACCTGATATAACGATTGACGGGTCACCAAAGATGTCATTACGAAGTCAGTTACTGCATGCATGATACAACATGGGGAAACATAGAAAGTCTATATGTACCTATTGCCGAGTCCGGCCAGACGACCACAGCCGCGATGAAGACCAGAAGCTTCCACATGTGCACCATATGCTGAGTTGAGTCCAGACTCCGTGATGTGTGTGAGGCTTGTTCTGTGTGCGGTAATTTATACTGTGTCCCAAACTAGGCCATGGGAACCACACACCTGGCCGGTAGGGACGGGCGATATTAATAGTTCTAGACCTAAAGTAAACCTATGCTGTGTGAGGCTAAAGTAGGCAGAGAGTCACATTAGGCCACAGCATGTAAATTGTATGGATGACATCCTCCTCAGATTCCAAATTTAATGCGAGCGGGCGAAAAAAAACAAGGCGGGCCGAAAAAAGGTTCCTATATAAAATTTTTCACTCTTTTAAGTACTACACAAATGGTTTTGATTCAGTGGGAACATCACATATACCCAGCTAACATCACATATCACTGCATTAAAGTAAGAAACAAAACATTAAATCAGAGCCTTTTCTTGTCTCCTCTCTTCATAGTTATCTGCCATCCACCTTCCGGCATGGCAACAGACATCTTTGCCCATTTTTGGCATGATGACCACTGTCAGAAGGCAACAAATTTTATTGCGCGCTGATGTCATCCATAAAAATTACTTGCTGTGGCCTTAGTATACGTCACAACAGGGTCACGTACGTGCCACCAACTTCTTGTAATGCCATGTTACTACTGACAAACTTTTGTTGTTATATGAGAGCTAGGGTCCGGCTCATCTTCGGTGTATTAAGTCTTTCTAAAGCACTTAAGCCGGATACATGAATATGTAAGTGCATGTTGTACTAGCCTGATATACAGGTACAGATAAATGCTGGTCAGATACT